ATATTCCAAAAAGCTAAAGTTGCACCAATACCAAAAGTCATAGCACCGTTCTCCTGAAGGAGCTGAACATTTTAATACATGATTTGTTGAAATAGCACAAAAACTGCGGAACGAGAAAGATGCTGACAAACCTCGAGTAGATAAATGGATCACAGTAGTGAATCTTCATAAACATTCACAAAAACACATAAAACCAGAATTAAAACAACGATCTTGTACAATCTGTTAGAAAATACTCTTTTCTTTGTCTTGTTTGATAAAAAGTCATTTTTCCCTGATATGATTTAAAATGTATTTCATGACAAAACATAAGGAATAAACTGTTTAACCTTCACTAGAAGAACCCTAAATAAATGAAGACGTATATAAACATTACAAAACAGCAACAGTTTGTTTCTTATGAGCAGTTTAGTTCGTGTAAAATTAGATTATGTTCTTCAGTTTTTGTTTATTTTTAATTTACTGTATAGCATACCTTTACAATGAGTAACCAGTGATATGATTAAAGGTATTCCATCTAAACACCTGCGGCACACTTATATAAAAAGATTTAATATTGAGTAACTTTTGTCTAAAAATAGGGTCTCTGTTTCAAACTACAGTTGTGCTCTAATCTGATTATTGTGCTGATCCTGTGGCCTCGGCAGCTGTGGGACGGTGTGTGTCTTATGTAACACGCCGCCCTCCTCGCCCCTCGCTCATCCTCCTCTGTGTGTAAATAATGACGATGTGTCACGACACTCCGTTCTGCTTCCTGAGTTCACCTCGGCGCCGTTGAGGGAAGCATCCGTGCCCTTCTCTGTGCACAAAACACGGTTTTGAAAGAATTCAAGTTTCACTCGCGCTCCTTTAACTCAGACAAACGTTCACATGTAAGAAAAGATTATTTATGGCCTCAGAGCCACCGAAGTTCACTCCCTGGATCTGTTGCTTTAAACGGCTTTGGATCTGGTTATTGTAATTATAATTCAGTTGTAATCCATTAAACCCTGACATGTTGTGATGTTCCCACCCCCCATCATGGAGTGAAAAGGGACAATTGGAAGTACACTCCGTCGGTCAGTCTGTGTGTTGTGTAAGCACAACAACTTGAAAAACAAGTGAGGTACCAATTTCCATCTTGGTGTGTGCATCTAGGCATAAGAACGGTTCCTTTCCAAAAGTGGGTTGCCATGTCCCCTTGATTTATTTTTTTCATTCTCATGCTTTTAACCTTCAGCCAAAGATCAAGAGCATGTTAGGATTTTTTTTTTTTTTTGTCTCCAAACCCTATGTGTCATTTTTCACCACTTTTTGTTGTCTGTCTAAACAGGTCTCACTTGTAAATGAGTCTTCGAGGCTCAATGTGATTTATCTGTTTAAATAAAGGTTGAATGAATGTCAAAATCCAAGATGGCCACCCCCACATATATATGTAAACCAGCCGCCCATATCATTTGAAGAAACTATGCTTTCTAGTTTTTATATTGCTTAAAAGTATAGTTTCCACAAATGATTTGGGTGACCGGTGAGGAGGCTGAAGATTAATCTACGGTGGTCAGGGCCACCATTGGCCACCCCCTAGCTCCGCCATTGCACCTTATAGTGGATTAGATTGCTCCCTCCTCTCGCCAGGATTCGTCTGCTCCACCTCAGACAAGGACAAATAACTCCCTCTGTTCTTCTCCACAGTGTAACTCCTGCCTACTTAAATGTCTCACACCAAAAGCATTAAGGTGCATTCCCTGTTCAGTTCCAGTCTAGAAAAACGCTCATCCCCAAAGCTACAAACACTCACTATTCAAATCCTTCAGTGACAGTGGCCATGCGCCATCTTGTTTAATTTGACCTTATTACTGGAGCACTTCATTTTCCCCTCCCTCCCTTCCTGTTTAGCTTTGTAGATTTAATCTAATTCAGGTGCTCTTATCAGCGCTCTAAATTTAATGCTGCTGAGCAAAGTTACTTGTAATAAGTGCAGGTGACGTGTAATAAGATCCTGATTAATGGCATGGAGTCGTCCTCTGGCTGTCTTTCTGTCTCTGGCACACTTCAGTCTCAGGTCTTGACCTAATAAGTGGACAAGGCGCTGAGGCAGTTAGCTCAGACCAGCCTGGATTTGGGGGATTTTGCCCCCATACACTGTCTGATCAGGAGGATTTGGACCCTTTCTGGACATTTTATCAAATCTGGTTGAAGTAAATACATGCCACTACTGATTTTTGATCTTTCCTCTGCTTTCTGTAACCATAGTAACTTATTTGCTTCTTTTTTTTCTCTTCTACAGTCTTCATCTGCAGCTTCATGGTGGCAGCTCCCATCTTTGGTTTCCTTGGCGACCGCTTCAGCAGAAAGGTCATCCTGAGCTGTGGCATTTTCTTCTGGTCCATTGTTACCCTGTTGAGCTCATTCATCAGCACAAAGGTAAGACGTGGCTCCGGCTCTCACTGAAACAGACAGCGTCGGAGCGGGACTGTTCCATCAGGCCTCCTCATCGACAGTGACGAGCTAGTTAGTCCTTCATGATCTGGATGTGCTCGCTGTTAAGGGTGGTAAAATGAAACGACACGGTTGTATAGTCAGAAACACAGTTGCCTTTGTCGAAGTTCTTTATGTCGACCCTCCCTTAGACTTTATCACTGGCTTGCAGCCAAATTACTAATGAAGCCATGCTTCACGGTTGTCTCAATTACAACACTTGAGAAGATAAGACTGCCGGTTCATTGCCCATGAACGTGTAGATCTAGACTTGATATCTCTAAAAGCCTCGGTGTGCTTGGGGGTGGATGAGTGCATTAAATAATAACATTATTCCAGGCGGTGATGCTGTGGAGGAAGGTGCAGACGTCATATTGCTTTGAAAGACTTCGTCTATACGTTGAGACATTTCCACAGACAGACAAGAACGAGCCTCATCTGCATGGATATGTGGCATTAAAAGCTGAGTTAGTTAAATTTACGCAGCATCATAGAGTCATGCAGCGCTGCCTCTTAATGGAATAAGATCGCTCACTGCCAGAGCTCTTCAGAGCTGTGGATGGGAGTGACAGCTCGGAGATGTCAGTGGTCTCA